GGCACCATCTCTGTTCTTCTGTTTCTCTTCAGCCCCCACATTTAGGCCATCGGCAAGTTCTACCCCCAAGCATATGAATCAGACCACCCCTCTGCATCCCCACCTCAACCCCCAAGTCCAGGTCACCATCATCTTTTGCCTCCTCACTGATCTCCCCTGGCCACCCTTGACCTCTAAATCTTCAGCATCATCTGCCAAGCTTCTACATGATCGGGTTCTGCCCGACTCCTGGATCTGATCTCCCAACACTTCTGTCTCTCCACAGGCGTCTGCCATCCCACCGGCCCCTTCGCTCTTCCTTGGATATGCTCAGCTCTTTTCTCTATTTGGCCTGCGTTCATGCTGTTCCTTCTAGATGAAATGCTTTTCGCTGTTATCTTCTTGTGACTTAGAGAGCCCCAGAAGTGTTACCTTTTCAGAAGTCTTCTCTGACCACCTAGCTGAAGGAGCCAGACACTCCAGCTCTCTCTCTAGCCCATGTACTCTCTTCTTTTCTGCCCAGTGTTTATATAGATTCTTAATTCGTTTGTCTCCTCACCAGGGCCCTGACCTTCTTCTTGCTCTTCACCTCTGATATACCCAAGGCCCAGCCCAGTGCCTGCCATGTAGTATGTGTTCCGATAATCTCGTACAGTTTCTGGCAGTATCCACAGCTGCCTGAGTTTTACTTTTCTTCCTCTCATTGCCTAATAGCCGTCGGTCTACATTTTCTTCATAGATCTCAAAATTGGCATTCCTTTGAACAGACCACTGTCTTTTTCATCTTTTCCTTAAAGTGGAACATGTGAGTTGTTTCCAGGTCTTAGCCAAAATGCCCAGCTTAGCTTTAAATATCTTTGTTCAAATTGTATATCTACTGCTACCAAATGAATTCTTTGGGGTGTAGTTCCCAAACTGATGTCTTCAAGTCAAGGGTACAGTAATCTTGAAGGCATTTGCCTCTCATTACCACATGGTTGTTCAGAAAGATTGTTGTTGTTGTTAAGTGCCACTGAGTCAGTTCCAAGGAGCAGCTGGTGGGTTTGAACCACCGACCTTACGGCTAGTAGTCCACTGCTTATCCACAGCACCACACTAGGACTCCTCAGAAAGATTACCCCTAGCCAAATTTGCACATTTCCCTTCAACTCTACAATCATTGAGTTTTATGATTTTTATTTGTTTTGGTTAGCTTAATGGGAAGGGCATTGGTCAGTGCTGGAGAATCAGTTCTGACTCATAGGGGCCCTGGATAGGGTTTCTGAGGCTGTAAATCTTTGCAGGAGCAGAGAACTTCCTCTTTTCTCCCACGGAGTGGCTGGTGGGCTTGAATAGCTGACCTTGTGGTTCACAGTCCGTGTTTATTCTCCAGAGCCACCTTCCCAGTGGGAAGAGCTCAGTTCTTTCTAATTAGTGATGGTGGCTGTTTTTCTAGGTGTATCTGCTCTTTCCGTGTCCTGTCTTGGGAAGGATGGCAATCTTCAGGGCACCTTAATTCTTCCTGTCACCTTCACGTCCGGTGATAGTTCCAGTTGAACCCACCTCATTTGTGAGAGACGGTGAGGGCCCCCAGAGGCCTGAGCTGGGAGCCCACCGAGTGGAACATTACAGTAGCTGCTCTGTCGGTCAACCAACAATAAACTCTCCGAGGGTCAGTTATGCCCTTGGCCTGGGTTAGACCATGAGAAAAGAAAGAACTCTGTTTCTTTCTTTCTTTTTTTTCCCCGTTAAGTCTTTGTGAATTTTTTCCAAATGGTAATATTTTCTTTTTTAATTATGAAAGGATTATAAGATATGCAGGGATATTTGTTTGAACACTGGGGCGGCACCAGATTAGAAAGCAGTTTAAATGCTGGTCACTGGTGAAACTGCACACTTAAAGGGACGCCCCTGGCAGAGGGTCCCACTGCTTCTGCTGGGTCTAGATTGTGGAACACCACAATCTCCGAGGTGTTGTAGGAGCCATTGGAAGCTGATTTCACTTTGCTTGTATCCACGGTCATCACTCATGGAAGCAGCAAGCAGTCAAGAGATCACATGACATATTGTGTTAGGTAAATCTGCTGCAAAAGACCTCTTTAAGAGTTAAAAAGCACAAATGGCACTTTATGGGCTAAGGTGTACCTGACCCAATGGTATTTTCAGTTGCCTCCTCTGTATGGGAAATCTGGGTAGTGGATAAGGAAGACCGAAAATGAATGAATGCCTTTGAATTATGGTGTTAGTGAACAATATTCAGTATACCAAGGACTGTCAGAAAAGCAAACAAATCTGTCTTGGAAGAGGTACACCCAGAATTCTCATAGAAGAGAGGATGGCAAGGCCTCTTTCATGTACTTTGCACATGTTGTTAGGAGGGACCAGTCCCTAGAGAAGGACTGCATGCTGAGTAAAACAGAGGCTCAGAAAAAAAGAGAGAAAGACCCTCAAGGAAGTAGACTGATACAGTGACTGTAACATTGCATTCAAATATAGGAATGATTATGAGGATGATGCAAGACTGGGCCGTGTTTCATTCTATTGTACACAAGGTCTCTATGAGTCTGAGCCAACTCTATGGCACCTGATACCACAGCAGCACAGATGCTGTAACAAACTATCATATCCTGGTAGCTTAAAGCAACAGTAATCTACTGTCTTGCACTTTTAGAGCTCATGAGTCCAAAGTGGGTCTCACTAAACTATAATCTAGGTGCTGACAGGGCTACATTCCTTCTGCAGACTCTAGGGGAAAATCTGCTTCCTTGCCTTTTCCAGCTTCCAGATACAACCTGCATTCCTTGGCTCATGGGCTCTTCCCTCATCTTCAAGCTCAGCAGTGTAGCGCCTTCCTCTCTCTCTCTGACTCTCTTGCCTTCTTCTTCTAAGAAATCTTGTTGTGCTATTCCAGGCACAGGTTCCTTTTGATGACATTTCCAAAGAATGTGAGACCAAGTCACCATCCTTGCTTATAAAGAACATTCTGGCTGTACTTTCAGAAAAGATGTGTTTGTTCTTCTGGCAGTCCAAGTTACTTTCAGTGTTCTTCACTATTACCATAATTTAAATGTCTCCAAATAAATAAATGAGAATTCTTGTAATGTACCAGGATAGAATCCCCATCTCCACATTCTTAACTGAATCTCCTCTGATAGTCCTGTTTCATGGATTAGAATGTGGACATCTTCAGGGTTCATTTTTTCGGCCTGCCACAGATATATTAAGGGAAACAAACAAGATTTATTTAAAATCTTTGTTCACATTTGTTTAAAACATAAAAAAGAATATATATGAATGTGCTTGCAAAGATCTAGAAAACCCCAGAAGGTGGCAAGGTACATAGGAAACTTGTTTCTAGGAGGGACAAGGGTGAGAGGAAGACTGACTGGTCATAGGAAATCTTTTATGCTTTATTTACATTTCTTACTGTAGTCATATGTCACCTGTGTTAAAAATAAGTAATCTTTTAAGAGTAACTCAGAGTCAGTGTGAATGTGTAGACCTTCCAGAGACAAAAAGAATACTCGTCTCCCTATCTAAAAGGAACTTTGGTAATGTAGTGGTTACAAATCGGCCTGCAAACCTCAAGGTCAGCTGTTTGAAACTACCAGCCATTCCATGGGAGAAAGAAGAGACTTTCTGCTCCTGAAAAGATATACAGCCTTGGAAACCCTATACAGGATCACTATGAGTCGGAACCGACTCCACGGTACACCACGACCACCCACCACCACCACCTATTCAAAGGGGGGGAAAATTACTTCATTTTTCTTCAGAAACAGTGGCTGTGAAGAGTTTTTCTATATCCTTGTAAACTGACAAAAGTACATGCATAGATTTTCAACACAGTTAGGCCCGTACTGTACACACTATCTTGTAATGTGATCTTTTTGGCTTGACATCTTGCCACATTTATTCAGCATTGTTGCAGCACGAGAGTTTCCACTCTCAGATGAGCTTAATTTAACCAGATCCCCATTGGAGGGCAGGTAGAGCGCCTTTGCTGCTTTCTAGCATAATCCCAATGTTGTATGATCTTTAAAAAAAAAGATTAAATTTACATAACAAAATTAACCATTTTAAAGTAAACAATTCAGTAGCATTCAATACAGTTGCAGTATTGTACAACCACCACCTCTAATTCCAGAACGTTTTCATTACTTCAAAAGGAAACCTGGTACCCATTAAGCAGTTACTTACTCCTGCCTCCCCTAGCCCTTGTTGTTAAGTGCCATCGATTCCGACCCATAGCGACCTTGTATAGGGTTTCCAAGAAGCAGCTGGTAAGCTTGGACTGCCAACTTTGCAGTTCAAATGGCTTTGCAGTCTGGTGCATTAACCCACAGCGCCACACCAGAACTCTCCCCCTAGCCCTTGGCAACCTTTAGTGTACTTGCTGCATGGGTCTGCCTATTCCAGATATAACAGGTAAATGGAATCATTCAGTATATGACCTTTGTGTGTGACTTATTTCACTCAGCATCATGTTTTCAAGGTCCATATTGTGACAATCATTAGGACTCTTTCTCTTTATATCTAAGATTCCATTGTCTGGATAGACCACAGTTTGTTTATTCATTGATCTGTTGATGGGTTGGGTTGTTTTCTCACTGTGAATTGTGTGACCACGGCTGCTATGAACATGCATGTACACGTATCTGAACAATCTATTTTCAGTTCTTTAGGTCTTTACTTAGAATGGATGGTCTTCCACATATGCTTTGAGCCTTCTTCTCTTTTCCCTTTAAGTTGATACTTGTTGTTATGTGCCGTGGAGTCAGTTCCGACCCATAGTGACCATGTACAGGGTTTCCAAGTCTTTACGGGAGCAGAAATCTTCATCTTTCTCCCGCAGAACAGCTGGTAGTTTCGAATTGCTGGCCGTGAGATTAGCAGCCCGATTCATAACCACTATGCTACCAGAGCTCCACTTAAGCAAGTTAAAAGTAATATGTGAGTAAGTATTGCAAGACCACGTTACTAAGGTCAATGACAGCACAGTGACAGATCTGGACAAACATTTTTTTCTTTTCCAGATCCAGAGGCAACAGGAAAATGGCCACTTGGAATGAAAAGGTAACTTGGTTCTGTGGGGCTAGCAGTGTTGAAGGACATCTCAGGCTTGAGATAATTCGTTGTGGTATTTTTAAACAAGTGAGAGGCAAACTCAGCATTCAGGATGTTTGCAGCATCTCCAAGTGTCTCACATCACAAAGGTGACGTATGGAAGGGCCTCACAAAACCTTGAGATAGCTTCATCATCTGAAACCAGACCATTCAAACCCCAGCTCTGCATCTTCATAACCAAATGTCCTTACTTCAGGCCCTTGCCCTCTTTGAGCCTCAGCTTCCTTATCTGGAAGATTTACACCCCTTCCCCTGAAGGAATGTTGGGAGAAGATGAGGCTCCCAGAGCACCAGGGTCTATATGGGACCATTCTATAGTTGGAGAAACTTGGCACAAAGAAGTAAAACCTTTTGTCCAAACTTGGAAGTGACAGAGGTGGAATTACAACGCTGGCCTGACTCCAGAGCAAGGGCTTTGCCTCATCAACTCCATCACTGATATTCGGGATGTGGGTTTGGTGGGTTTGGTGGACTCCAGTTGTGGAGGGGTGTAGACATGTGGAAAGGAAGTGTTGACTTCTGTTTCTGCTGGCCACTTGGAGCTTCTGGACTCCTGGCTGGGTAGACGGGTCTGGAGGAGAGCTGGATTCATGGAGTAGCAGCAAGAATCGGAGAAGCAGTTAGAGGGTCAACAGACCCAGAGAAGACCATGAAATGATAATGATGGTGACCTTGTATCTCATTAAACTGGGATTCTTGTTATTCTAAGGGGCATTTCAAAGGTAGGGGAAGAGAGAGTGGCCAGTGCACTTGTCGAGCGCCACCCAGAAATGTTGAAATGTGAGAAAAGTGACACTTTGGTTTGTAGCTGAGCATTTATCAGTGTGCACCACTCAGGAACTCCTCATGTTGTTAGCGTAGTGGTTACGAATCGGGCTACGAACCTAAAGGTCAGCAGTTCGAAACTACCAGCCGCTCCGCGGGAGAAAGATGAGGCTTTCTACTCCCGTAAGGATTTACACCCTCGGAAACCCTGTA